AGAAAAAAAAAGCTGCCGCACCGCTGCCGCGCCGCGGCGGTTTATAAAAAAATGTTGCCGCGACGCTGCCGCACCGCGATGACTTATAAAAGAAACGCTGCCGCGATGAATTATAAAATAAACGTGCCGCCACCGCGCCGCTGCCGCGACGATTTTCAAAAAAGTGTTTCTAATTTCACTGCTGTGACTATATTTGACCAGAGATATGGGTACTAGTCCATCAGATTTATTCAATATCAGGGCGTTTCATTTGTAAATCGTGAGATTCTATTAAATTCATACAGTTTTTCAATGTCCTCCAAAAAAATCCTGCCGCTGCCGCGCCGCTGCCGCGATGGTTTTTTAAAAAACCTGCCGCTACCGCGCCGCTGCCGCGATGACTTTTAAAAAAATCTGCCGCTACCGCGCCGCTGCCGCGGTGATTTTTTTTAAAAACCTGCCGCTGCCGCGCCGCCACCGCCACCGCGGCAGCGGCAGCGGCAGCGGCGGCGGCGCGGCAGCGCCGCGATGGACATCTCTGGTACTCCCCCTCAGGCTATAGTGAAACCTTTAGAAGTTTTTCTACTGTTTTTGATAAAATATAGGAAAAATAGGAATAGCGATTCAAATATAGGGTAAAATATAGGATTCTTCAAAAATATAGGAATTATAGGATTTATAGGTCGAATCCGATCCCAGGATATATCTTGAGTGCATTAAAGATATGTTTTCTTTCTTGTTTTTTTGGTTTATTTTAAAACCTTTCAAAGTTGAAGTCAAGAAAGAATGAGAGTATTTGGTTTGAAAATGAAAGATTAATACTAAAACAGAAAATCTATTGAGTAACATCAGGTGTTGGTTCCAATTCCAATAAACGTTTGATGAAGCTTGTTGCAGTTGTATAAATTTCTAATTTAAATGCTTGATTAACTGCAGATTTTAATTTTATGATTTTGTGCATTGATTGTAATTGTCAATGAGTAAAACAGGCAACTAATTCATATCAACGTTTTTCATCATCTTTCGCTAAATCTTCGTTTTTGTCATTGACATTTGTCAACTAACAATATATTCTTTACATATTTCAATTCATTGTTCATCTTGAAATTATTCGTTTTTTGTTAAACAATAAGCAATTTAAAGGCGTCCAACTAATTTTTCTAATTTTAATCCAAGTAGTAGATACAATAATTTTGGTCAATGTTCATTACGCCTTAATAATTAAAATAACTTTAAAATATTTATGAAGTAAACAAATAATTTATATATTTGAATAAAAACATACAAGATCAGGTGATAATTCAATTTCAGTATCACCTCAACTTACACCTTCAATTTTTATTGCATCATCAGTCCAATCTTCACCACTTCTTGCTATTTCATCAATATGAAGGTTTGCAGCAAGTTTTGCTGTTCTGTTTGATATTAAACCTGCTTTAATTCTTGTTGACTTCTTGGACATGGTGGTAAAATTAATTTAGCATGTAGATTTGTTTCAAGTAACTAAAAAAATATATTTTATTTTAAATTATGAAATTTAACACGAGATTAATATTGATTAAATGTATGTCTATCTTAATACTTCATATCTAACATATCAATTAAATAAAGAACAAGTAATAACATCTTTGTTGAAATCTCAGTCTACCGACCTATTTCTTTTTTGATATAGAATATGAGAAGTCTTCTTACTTTTTTAAAATCTACATTCAAATGAATATCAATCAAAGCAGGAACACTAAATTAACTATGACATGGTAATTTCTTGTAATCTACTTTCAAAAAAATCTTATCTGTCAATATCAAAAGCAACATCGATAATTATCAAACTTCTCTATCTAATAGTACGGGAAAATCTTTAGATAAAGGATATGGGGTGCGTCCTTTTTCGTCCTTAATCATGTGTCAGGATGTAAGGAAGATAGGGACGAAAAAGGACGCACCCAGAATATGCTAGACATAATTAAACATTCTTAGATATTATTTAGAATCTCAAAAGAATTGATATACTGGCACGAAAATTTATAACTAGATTTCAGGACTTTTAGCTGAAAATATTAGAAAACTATAAAATTTTCTATATTGTTTTGTTTTTTTTTCTAAAGACCTTCAGAAGAAGTATTAAGATGAGAATTTTTTTTGTTGTCAATAATAAATTACTTTTTCGTCAAGTGATTCCAGTGTACAAGAAGCGCAACAAATTTAATAATTTTCTCTTAGAAAAAAGAAAAGAACAATCTAAAATCTTACTTTGATTTCATTGTCTAAGAAGTTTAATGCATTCTTCAACATCTCCTAATAGCATTGGAATCTGATCTTGTAAATAAATAAAAGTTAATTTTTCCCAACAATTTTTACCATCTAATGTTGGTCGAACTTCTGTATGAAAACAAAAAAAACAATATTTTCATTAACTTTTGTTCTATAAATAGGCAAATCAACTGTACAAATAACTCCATGATCACCATTAATAAGGGCATACTTTATCATTTGACCATATTGCTTTTTCTTATACTTGTTAATGAGCGCTTTTGTTGAGCGTCATATAAAATAATATCATAATTTTCACGAATTAATAAAAGACGTGTACCAACCTAAAAAATTAATGAAAAAATTTAAAAAAAGAAACAAATTTAAACTTACAATATAATTCTTTTATCAAGAAAAATAAATTGATTTCGAGCAACCCATATAGCATTCAAATCAGACAAATGACGCCCTTCAGGTCGACAAGTTGCAATAATTACAATAAATTCATATTTTACATATTAAAAATTGCGAATATATGATAAAAATTTTTCCATGTTGCTGCTGATCTATCGAACAAAGAGAAAAGAATTCAATGATGAACACATACTTGAATATTGTGTGTTCGTCTGCTTCGTGTGCTCACAAACGAACATGACACAGACAATAATGTTTTTTTCTTTTCTTCTCTCGTCCGTAAGTTATGCTTCATGTTGTCATTGATGATCAATGATAAAATGACATAATGAGTGTGTATGTCAATTAAGCATTATCCATACACATATATTGAGATACTGTGATTGAATTTATCTCAATGTATGCGTGTATGTTGATAATAGCTTAATTTTTATCATCTTTTCATCACTCTCTGACGAGAAAAAAAAACGAAAATTATCGACTTTTTAACGTATAAATATGAATGATTTTCCATGTAAAAATCATTCAATTTATTGAATCAAATTCTAATCTTTTTTTTTATATTTTAGATTAGCTGCAACGATACAAAATTATACAATTCAATTCAAATCAAGACAACAAAAAAATGTAGGTATCAGTTTTTATTTTTTTCTTCTTTTTTTTTTTTTTATTGGATCATACAGAGGGTGGTAAGTCCTCTTGTGATCTTTTATATTCATGTTTTTCTTTTCCTTTTAAAGCCGTCATCATTCAACATCAACGGGTGAGTTAATTTTTTTTTTCTTTTTCTTTTCTTTGTTGAGATGAGAATAGTTAGGGTGAGTGAGGTACGTTGAGTTTAGGGTTTCGCTTTATAAGAAGGACTTCCGGGTAGTCCCTAAAAGCTCGGCCAGGAACTGTCTTGGTGTCCGTGGCACACGATCGGGCCCCCAGACTCACTGATATATGACATCGGATGGGTGCATGTGGGTCTTCTCGTGCGTGCATGAGCATTACGCTCGCCACGGCTCCACCAGGATGGTTCCTGGTCGCGCACGCGAAGAGAATAGAATAGATTTCAATGGATTTTTTCATTCAATCACAATTTATTTGGAAGAGAAAGAGAACCAAAAAAAAAATAAAATTCATCATCATATTGAGTTCATTTGATATTAAATTTTTGTACTCGATCATTTCCGAAATCGACGACATAGAGATTGCCATGTCGATCAAATGATAAACCTGTGGGACCATTGAGCAGATTTGACCATGCTCCTGAACCGTTTCCACCAACAATGACACTTCCTTGTGTGGCTCCTTTTGGCCAACGCATGATTCGATGATTCCAAGAATCAGCCACATAGACAGTACCCAATTGATCAACAATGACTCCTTCAGGCTCATTCAATTGTGTAAGACTATTTCCATATCCTTGGCCACCGGCTACGACAATGCCTTGTTTTGCACCTTCTTCCCATTTCATTACACGATGATTTTCATAATCAGACACATAAACTGAATGATCTCGATCGACAAATACGTATTGGTGATTAGAGAGTTTATCGAGACGATGTCCTTTTCCATTGCCACCTGCAACCACTGTTCCTTTAGTGTCACCAATTTTATATCGTCTCACTTCATGTTTTCCATTGTCAACGACATAGAGATAACCATTGTCGTCCATTGTCAAACCTCCGCAAGAGATATTGGAAATAATAGTTTCACCACGAGTACCATTTCGACGAGGCCATCGAACTACTCTTTTATTTTCACAATCGTTGATGATGAGACTATCGCTCTCTTTGTCGATAATCACATCTCGTGGGAATTTTAATTGATGAGCTCCATTTCCTTGTCCATTTCTACCAGCAACTACTTTTCCATTCGTTGCACCAGATTTCCATTCCACAATACGGTGATTTTCACAATCAGCGACATAAATCGTCTGATCATCGTCGACGTACAAACCATTTGGGAGAAAGAGTTGATTGGTTGCACTGCCTTTTCCATTTCCTCCAGCAACAGTGATAGCATTCGTTGACCATGTTGCATTTGGATGAATATCAATGGAACTTGCACGTAGTGGTACTGAAATGGAGGCAAAAGTATGAAGTAAAAATAAACATCAATGTCGTTGAAATGAGTCATTGTCATTTGTTTTAAACAGTATTGAACTGCTCTCAATTACAAAAGCTTTTTACTTATAAACTTGATTAGAATCTGGTTTTTCTCAATGTTGAAAACAAACATTGCTGATTTTTCAAATATTTTGGATAAGAATCCTTAGTTTTACTAAAACTAACTAAAATTTAACTGGTAATGTGAAAAATTGCGATGAACTCGGATTTTATCATGAATGAAATTTTCTTTTCTATCGAATTTTTCCAACATATTCACTGGTTTCGTTAGTTCGAGTTTGAAATATATTTAAAAATTATTTCATTTTTTATTGTTTGGGTTTTAGAATAAAATGAGTTATAATAGAATTTGAACGTAAGGAAAAACAATTTTGTTATCAGTTGATAGGAAACGGTATATGATTTATGTTCGTCACACATTTCTGAGTGAAATGAGACAAAATAAATTTGCCACTTTTATATGAATTCGTTAAAAACATCTTGCTAGATAATAACGATAGTTAATTATACTTAACTACCATGCATAAGACGTTTTTGACTGATTCAAATAAAAAAATTACAAATTTTTTGTGTAAGTATTTTTCTTTCTTATTCCATTTAGGAATGTGTGACAAATATAAATCATATACCATTCGAAAGTATTTTATGCCATGAATTTTGCATCATACTTATTATTGAGTAATTTATTTCTGAATCTCAAACAAACAAGTAGTTTGTAGAAAGGCTAATCGAAGTGCTAAATAGGATAAGTATAGATAAAAAAATACGTAAGTTCAAATTTTAGTAGATAAGAAGAACTCAAAAACAAATATTTCCCAAGTTCAAGAATATTTGAAGAATCTGTCATGTTCATTATTCTACATTGTAGCACAAACAATAATCTATATACGAATCAATCAAATCTTTTATTTTGAATTCATTTCTAATGTATTACAAATTTTCAACTTAATAGGGTAGGGAACATGGTTTTTTAAACAATAGCAGTTTCGTCTCACGGATCGATTTCGAACTTTCTACAATTAAATATTTTCACTTCTTTACAAGACAATACAAATCTCCTATCGAAACATTGATCTAAAATCTTTGCAAGTTAGTGTTTTGTAGGCTATTCAATAGGTATAAATTTTTGAGGATTCTCACAAAAAAGCAACGATCGTAAAAGATTTTATCATGATTTCAGCTATTCTCAATAGCAATAAGTGTGAAGATTTCTTCTTCAAATTGTTATTGTATCGCATTCTGAGCTGGTTAAATCTTAGAAGAAAGTTTTTTTTGTTGGTCTAGAATTTTCTAAAGGTTGATATTGATATGAGCTTTAAACTAGAAACAATATTGCTATGATTATATCTTGAATGGACAGTTACGGTATCGATGAAGTTAATACAAAATGTCATGCAGTTTTATAAGCTCCCTAAAAATTATTTAAATAATTTCATCCTTCTTAATTTATCTATGAAGAATCTAGCTATAATCGAGATCTTGATTAAATTTAATACTATTTAATCAATTGTCATTTTTATTACATGTAATGTCAGGTATTTTTAATATGTTTAATGTCTCAGTTCAATTGGAAGAGAGTACATTTACATGTCAAACGGTATGAGACCTTTAACACATTGGGCACGATTCAGTTTTCGTATGAAATTTCTGCAAGATGTCATTTTTATGAATAGTTCACTTCTAATAAATGCACTTAATGACCCTTTCGTTATCTTCTACTGATTATTTATCGTTCTCTTTCTTGTATTACTACATAATGAATCATTTTTCGCGAGTAACTAGAATTGCCTGAGTCAATTTTTCGTTCTTTTTCATGTTATATATAACATATGTGAGAAGAAGGAGGAAAATTCCAGGCTTTTCTCTGTTATTCTTATCCATGTGTTGTTTTACTATATAAAGACGAGTGAATTTTTGGAATAGTACACATGTCGTTCGAAGAAACCGATTCAGAAGAAAGCGTTAGCTCACGAAGTGAAGTGAGTTCTTTGGATGATGATTTCGATAGAATACATCTTGAATCTGAAAGCTCCGACGAAGAAGTGACAAATGACGAGGTCGATTCAAACGTCTGGAATGAAATAAAACCAGAATCGGATGATGAATTTATGGAAGATCATGGTCTCGTCGAAGAAGTAACTTCGACTTCAGGAGACAATACAATCGACCCTATCGATTGCTATCGGCATTTCATTACGGACGAAATTATTGACCTTATGGTTCGTGAAACTAATCGCTATGCGGAACAATATTTGCAAACTCATGAGATTAGCAGACGGTCAAAATTTCGTCAATGGAAACCAACCACCGATGAAGAGATGCTGAAGTTCTTTGGAATCATTATCGAGATGGGATTGGTACAAATGCCGAAACTGAAATACTACTGGAGCAGTAGTCAATTGTACGGATCAGAGATCATACGAAATGCCATGTCGAGAGAGAGGTTTGAATTACTCCTCAAATTTTGGCATTTTACAAACAACAATAACAAGAATTCGGACCACGACAGGCTGTTCAAGTTGAAACCACTCTCAGATTTACTCAAAGAGAGGTTTTCATCAGTATATATGCCTGGCTCAGTTATTAGCATCGACGAAAGTATGGTACCATGGCGAGGCAGACTTTTGTTCAAACAATACATCCCTGGAAAAGCACACAAGTACGGCGTAAAGATATACAAGCTAGCGGCTACCAATGGATACACCTGGAATTATGTGATCTATACTGGTCAGCAAGATCCTATGGCAGGTCGTGGACATGCTGAAGCAGTCGTAATGAATCTATTGAATGGTCTTTCGGGATGTTATCGAACCGTGGTGGCTGACAACTTCTTTACTAGTATTTCTCTAGCAAAACGTTTGTTGGAACAGGATACGTATCTTATTGGAACATTGAGAAGTAATCGTACTGGATCAGGATATGAAGTTGTTCAGAAAAAGCTCAAGCCTGGTGAGGTTTATGGGCTCCAGAACAAAATCGGTGTAAAATTGATCAAGTGGAAAGATAAAAGAGACGTTCTGATGATATCTACTAAACCATTTCATTCAGCAACTGTGGTGAACACCGGAAAAATCAATAAACTGAATGAACGCATCATGAAGCCGCAAGTTGTTCTCGATTACAATGAAGGCAGACAAGGTACTGATTTATCAGATCAACTATCAACATACCACACATGCCTGAGACGGTCAATAAAATGGTATAAAAAGGTGGCATTTGAATTGGTATTTGGAACTGCAGTGGTTAATAGTTATCTGATTTACAAGGAAAATTATGCGGCGAGCAACATACAGATTTTACAGTTTCGAGAAAGTCTTGTACGATCTTTACTCCTTGGTGCGCCAATCGAGAAGCTAAAACCTGGTCCGATACAACAATCAGCAAGTCATTCCAAGCGCAAACTCGCTGATCACAAGCTCGAAGAAAAGGAAGGATCTACGCGCAATGTTGGCAGACGATGTACTAGCTGCTATGCGAAGGGAAAGGCACAACAGTCAAGAGAAGCAAGCTATGCGGCAGCAAAGAAAGTGAAAACTTTTTGTTCTGACTGTGATAAGTTTTTTTGTCTAGAGTGTTTTAATGACAAGCATTATCCTATGGAATAAAGGACGCAAATAAAGCACTGAACACAGAACAACTGACACTTCATGTTTATAACCTCGTGCCTAAGAAAAAATCAAAAGAAAGTGTTCTTCTATACAGTTACTCGTAAAACCATAGCGTGGCCCACCGGTGGGCCACATCGTGCCCAATGTGTTAATTATATGTCAAACAACTCGAAGATGAGAGTCAGAAACAAAACAATACTTTCTGCTTTCTAAACCAAAGAGATTGTGAGACATAAAATTCGAGTAGATAATTTTATTTTCTACTTATAGATGATGGCATAGAGCTATATGAGATGCTTATTAATACTATAGATTTATTTCAATTAAATCAAACTTCTCAAAATATCTCTTATACAAATAGAAATAATCAGTCTGACCGGCTACCTTGCTTCGTTTTTTTGCACATAAACTTCAG